CCCCCCCCCCCCCAGCGAAAAGCCTCCAAGTGGGAAAAAAAAAAAAGGCCTCCAAGTGGAACCCATTATAGTTTTTTGCTTTTTTTGGTCAATAAGATGGGAGTACAAAGTAAAAATTTGGACCATTTCTTGATTTATGCATGTCATCCTTGATTGCCCAGGGGCCATGCTAATCTTCTTTAACTGACATGTCGTTAAAACTGACATTTTTTTCTAAATTCACAAAAGACTTGAAAAAGTGGACTTGGTTAAAATTTCATTGCTCATTGGGTGAGAAAGTGGTTATCTCACTTTGTCCATCTGACGTACCTGAACATAAAGTACCCTTAACATACATCCGATTATCAGATCAGAAGGGGAAAAAAACGTAGGACAGAAAAAGGAAGAATGGAAAAAAAAAAAAAAAACAAGGGCGGGGGAAAAAACGAAACAACCAGCAGTGACAGAAGGACCGGTCGCCAGCATTGAAGGAGTGACAGAAGGACCGGTCGCCATCATTGAAGGACCGGTCAGCCCCATATCACGACCACTTGCAAGCTGCATTCCCATAAGACGAAGAGGTTGGGTAGCTTGCCAACAACAAGGTTTGGGAAGGCTGCTTGGGGGGTACTGGTGGTCTAAAGTGCTACAAAACTACCAGAACGAAAACTATGTTCTTCTGACTGTCTTTCTTTAAACCACCAGGGGCAAGGTCCCACTAGCAAAGAGGATTGGATTAAGCTCCTGAATCTGGACGTGTTTTAGGCAGAGGTGCAGAAAAGCAAATCAATCTCGATTTTCTGCACCTTTTTCCCAAACATGTCCAGATGCAGGCATTCAATCCAATCCTCCTCTTTGCTAATGGGACCTCGCCGCAGTACTTCCTCGCGTCGTTCCCGTTAACCCGCCCTGCCCCGATCTTAGGAAACGTTCCGAACTTCTGGCTACTACAGGAGCACCCAACAAATTGAATTTCACCCGACTAGAAAGGTTTCTACTCTTTTGTTTTTTCCGCGGCCGATAGCTGTGCCAAGTACTGGTGGTGTTATGAACCTGCAGTGGTTGTTTGTTGTCAGAAGACCAACACTCGCTCTTATAGACTTCCAGGTATGCCCATACATACACAGAACTCAGAGTCTGAGTCTCTAAATGTCAGAATAACCCCAGAACCATGGTTCATAACAGTGGTTTTAAATTTTAATACCTTTTTGACATCTTAATGACAATGTCCCGTGCTAGTTTAGGTACTGCAATTATTCCCTGTGCTTATTGGTTAGCAACTTAAACCACCAGTAGTTGGCCCAGCTATAGGCCGTGGAAAAAAATAGAATAGAAAGTACTAGAAACATTTCTAGCCGGATGAATTTGGCCGCTCTTGTAGTGGCCCGTACATTTCCTAAGATTGTCTCTTGTTAACCGTCACGACTTTAGGAAGTACTGGTGGTTTAAGCAGTTGGTCTTGACCACAGATCAAGACCAACTGTAGCTTTTTTGGTACTCCTTCATCATCACCCTGTAGCTTTTCCCTTATTCCCCTCTTTTTCTTCCTTTTCTTTTTGTCCCTTTTTTTTTTTGGGGTTAACTTCGGCGCAGTCACGAAAACAGTTTGTAATTGCATTCGAAACTGCGTTTTAGCAGTTTAGTCAGTATCCGAGTTTCAATTGCAGTTTAGTCAGGGTCCGAGTTTCAATTGCAGTTGAAACTCGGCCGTATGCAGTTCAGTCAGGGCCCTCGTCTATCCACGAACAGCAGATAAACAGAAAAAAAGAAAAAACATCCCTTATGCTGTGATTGCGGTCTGATACAGGATGCTACAGTACTTGTCTGGAACTCAATGAAGCGTGGAATCCGCCCTGCCTGGCTGGCAGGGCGCTACAGGGACCTCACAACAAGAAACGAAAAACGAAAACTACCTGTTTCATGTTCCTCACTTCCTGGCCAGATACACTCCTCAAAGCACTGGTGACCTGAGGGCCTTCCCGACGTAGGTGGATTCGAAGTTCCTCGTTTCTTTACTTTTTTTATTTCTTCTTTTTCTCTTTTTTTTTTTTGGCCTCCATCCCTGCCCCGAGCCCCCCACTTCTTCGGAGTAGTCTACTCTTGAGACTTAGCGTTTGCCTATGAGGGGTGGTGCCTGCCAATCTCGGCTGTGGCCTAGACATCTCGGTCGTGCCCAATCTGGGGTGTGGCCGAGACATCTCGGTCGTGGCCAGTCTAGGGTGTGGCCGAGACATCTCGGCCGTGGCCCAACCATGGGGCTTTTTTTTTTTTTTTTTCCCCAACAGCAAAAAAAAAGGSAAAAAAAAAAAAAAAAAAAAAAAAAAAACCAAAAAAAAAAAGCCAAAAAAAAAAAAAAAAAAAAAGACCCTGGCAAATATGTAAGGGGCGCTGCACCCGTTTTCCGGCTATCAAAAGGATGGTCATTTTAATTGGAAAAAAAAAACGAACAGGAATCTTGAAAACTACCAATGTTTTTGTCTATGCGTTGAGAAAAAGAGCCTGGAGGCTTTTCTTTTTTTGTGGGGGGGGGAGGGGGGAGGAGGGAAGGAGAGGGGCTAGGGATTTATTTATTTATTTATTTTGGGGCCTAGGGATTTCCGGGAGTGTAAAATAAGGAATGCTAAAAAATAAGGAATGCTACAGAGATAACACGCACAAATTCAGAAGTGGTCTATGACTCTATGGCCCCATTGAGTGGACCTTTATTTCGTAATTATATTCAAAATTTAATCCTATGGGAATTTCTCAGTGTTTTTCGAAATGTGGCCACACTGGGGTCGTGGGATGTTCATTTCGGCCTTCGGTCCCAATGCGTGATTTTGATTGGATTTGGGACCGCTGGAACTACTGGGACCGGTGGGACGTAGTTGTGAATGAATACAAGAGGTGCTACATTTTGTTAGATTTTGTTACAATTCGCTCTGGGACTACTGACTGGGATGTACTTGAGACTGAACACAAGCTTATAAAAAAAAAAAAAAAAAAAAAAAAAGAATATGTGGGGATGCATATACCTCCCTTGTTAGATGGTGTTACATTTTCAAATTGTCAGATTTTGTCAAATATCGTTGGCTTTGGCTTGTTCGGTTGGGATGGACTTGGCCGCCGATAGTGCCTCGCCCAGCCGGCATGCCCGAGCGAGATATAAATGTGAGGGACGATGCGGGACCTGGTTTCCAGCACAAAAAAGGAATGTTTTTTCTTCTGAAAAAAAGAAAGTCCTCACCGCCAAATTAAAGAAAGGAGTAAAAAAAAAAAGAAAGAAGCCACCTTCGTGCTGCATTTTTTTCGGGTTTTGGTTCACGTCCAAATGGGACGGCAACAACTGGTGTGTACTGGAAGCCCAGTCTAAAGACTCTAAACTTCCGCTAGTGAGACTTGGGCCCAGGAGGCTAATAGGCTATGAAGGAGAGGGTCAAGATAAACGGGTTTTTTTTTTTTTTTTTTTTTTCCTAAGACAGCTCGAAATCGTTTTTTCTAGTCCAGAAGCTCTGCCAGCTCAGTTTTAAGCGAAGCCGGGTAATGCTCCCATCGGTTTATTGTTTTTTTTTTTTTTTTTCCGGATTCTCTATTCAGAAAAAAATTCGGACCATTTCTTGATTTATGCGTGTCATCCTTGCCCAGGGGGCCAGGGGCCATTTCCATAAAGGACGGTCGCCGGTTTACTTCATTTGCTACTTCCTAAATTAGGGTCATATCCCACTTCTTGTTCGGCGTGTAGTTTTTCGGAGAAAATGGGATCGGATCATCCGACTGCTTTCCCGACAATTCGGTGGCAGCCCTGCATTGTCGGGGATGCGGAAACATGAGCGGATGTGGCACGACGTCCGCGATTGGCGTTCATGTAGTAGTTCTTTTGAAAAATGGAAGAGGCCACCCCCGTCTTGTGTAGGGAAAAAGAAGGGGCAATTTTTGCCTCTTTTTTTTGGGGNAAGGGGCAATTTTTGCCTCTTTTTTTTGGGGGGGGGGGGGGGGGAGAAACCACGCGGGAGTCGCAAACACCAGTTATAATTGCACTATGGGCCAAGATACAGTTTCTAATTGCAGTTCCGGCAATGTATACAATGCAGCTTTCTGGCCAGGTAGGGTGCCTTACCCCTTTTTTTTTTTTTTTTGGTTGTCCTCATTGTTCACACAGGCTTTAAAATTTGTGAACAATAGAAGAGGCCAACAGAATGTCGGAGGTCCACACTTGTCTATGCGGCCCACAAAAATCCGCCAGGCCCCGGGA